CCCACATAGTGGGACAAAGGCTTGATGTTGTTGCTGTGGTTTTGAATCCTATACCTATGTTGTGACAAGCTAGCCAATTACATATTAAAGGTCAAGCTATGAACCAAGCCATTGCTAAATACATCGCCAAATAACATCTATTTTCACGTTTCCAAGCAGAATACTAGTATTGTGCAGGCTTTCTCCATTTATCTGTGTGTATGTATATATATGGTAATTGAATTTGGTTCTGCCTATTTCCCAACAATTAGTTTGCTTAAAATTTCCTCTTTTTCTTTCCGTTCTTTAGATTGACATAAGGTTGGCACCTGGAAGTCATGCAACAGAAGCTGCAGGTATTACATCCTCATCTGTCTTCAATAGTATCATTTCAGATTGCAGTTACAGTTTGTCTTCCCATACAAAATTGTAGTGAACAAGCAGTTGAATGACAAAGAACGTGTAGCTGCGGCATTGGAAAATCCAAACCTTGCAGAAGTGGTCGCTGAGTGTTTGGCACCTACTTTTGCTTAGATTCAGTAATTTTCCTCTTCAAGAACACATAGTCGACTGTAATTTTATGTAAGAATGTCAAGGGTTGTTTACCGGTGCCATGGTGTTAGTGACCATAGTGATTTACACATATATAGAGATTTAGGCTTCGTTTGGGACGCCTTTTTTACTGCCTTTAAAGTAAATTTTTAGTATAAAAATTTTAATTTTGTACTAGAAAGTTATTTTAAGAAGCAGTAAGAAAGTAGTCCCAAACGAAGCCTTAGATTTACCAAACTCACTGTGCGAGGCATTCTTGATAATAATCATCCATATATGTTATTCTTTGTTGTCAAAATTTTGGCATACACTTGTTTGTTATTTATTTATTTATTTGCTAAACAAACAGTTTTGTTGTAATGTATAAAACTTTTTGTGCACTTCTCTTTATTATATAGCGTAATTATACCCTTTGATTTTAAGGTCTTGTGTTAGTGAAGAGAAAAACTTTATTGCCCCTTTTGGAGTTTGAAATTAGTGTGATGGCTTTGTAATGTTGGAAAACTCTAGTCTTTTATTTATATGCATATTGTGTATTGAAGAGTTCTTGAATAAAATGGGACAAAATAACAAATAGCAAGAAGAAACATGTCCTAAGGTTTCATTTGAGATGGTTTTCTCAATGCTTCTTAAAGCAATTTGTTAAAAAAAATTAATTTTATGCTAAAAAAATGCTTTAAAAATTTTAAAAAAGCTATCCCAAACAAAATCTTAAATCATATTATTTTGCTCAACAACTTATGACTTATAGTTGATTTTAAGCAGTTCCTTACTGTAATATATTTGCAAATAAGGTTCTTGAAATTGAAAAATTATTTTATGTGGACTCCGAACGTCGAAGATCGTCCGGATCCTGCATATGGATTGCGTATAAATTGAGTATGGATTTCATATTTGTAGATATGTAAAAAATGCTCACTAAATATTTTGTAAACACTCACAACTAATGATTGTCTTGATATTTGCTTCATATCTACAAAGTACAAATACAAAATTCATATTTAGTTTATACACAATCCATATGCAGCATATCGATGATCCTCTACGTTTGGAGTTCGCACAGAATAATTTATCTTGAAATCAGCCATTGGGAATTTTCATGAAATTATCCCTATAAGCATCACAACATTCATTTTAGCTGAGAGCAGTTTCACATTTACCAACAAGAATATATATCTCACAAAATATTTAAAAAAAACTACAGTTCCTATCAATCTTTAAGCCAAAAAAACAATGAAAATAATAATAACATAAACATATACTATTAAGTATCAACCAACGCCACTATATTCCTCCTATAATCACAGAAACTTTCCACAAATCTGCTTAGAAATCCACATTCAAATATATAAATATTCATTCCTCTTATCTGATTAGAAGTTGATCAGATCATCCTTCTTATACTGATGCTTCTTCTTTCTCATCTCTTGGTCCTCTGATGAGCTGCCCCCTTTCACTCCAAAAATCATTTCATCAAGGTCATGTAGCAGGTCATCGTCTTCACCTGACCTTGCTCGAAACTCGGCAGGTTTTCTGATGAGATTCTCTTCTCTACTGACTCGTGGAGATTCCTCTGGTTCCACAGCAACTGGAATCATTGCAGGTTCTGGTTCTGAATGAATAACCGAAGGCTTCTTTAAGTCTTCATACTTGGTAAGAACCCTCTGTAGCTCATCATTTACATTCAAAGCTTCACAAAGTATGATTTCATTGTCACCAACTGAATCTATGATTCTTTGTATGGTATACTGAGATTGTTGGCATTGGTGCACCAACGTAATTGTCAGCTCATCCTATATGAAACAAAATAATTTAAGTTCATGGAGCTACACATTTAAAGATGGGAAGATTGTCATAAGAGTATTATGCAAAAAAAATGATTATAATGGATACTTGGGCAAAGTTTATGGATTTGTAATTAGGTCGACGACTCGTATGAATCAAGTATTAAAAAAAAAGTTGATGGATAAGTTGAGAAAGAAGGAAATAATAATGTAAATATAGATGTGTGGTCAACTATGAAAGGATAAATTGAAAAATAATTATGTTAGAGTATGGTTAGGGCATCTCCAACCAAAAAATTCATTTTTCACTCCAAAATATAGTAATACACCAAAATGCAGTAACTTGTCTCTAACCGAACTTCATTTTCTAAAAAAAAAAAAAAAATTCTTAGTATATTCTTTCCCATACTTCATTTTATATAATTTTCGAATTAAAAAAAATGGCGGGTGAACAATGCGACGTCAATATTGACGTCGCATTGTTCACTTGTGATGAAATAGCGTCAAAATTGTCACTCGGTTGGAGCGACGGAAGAACGGCAAACGGTTGTTTGCTATTCCATTGGAGATGCCCTTAGAATGGCATCTATTAGAGATCAGATAATTGAAAATAGACTTGAAGTGATTTGATTATGCACAACAAATGGATAGTTATAATTAGCACGAGGAAGAATAGAAAGAGTTTCACCATAGATATTATGGATAGAAGTTAGTTAAAATGATTTTACTTCGAGCAGAACTCAACAAGAACAAATGCAAAATGAGAATTCATGAAGCCAAATCCAAAATGTTGGGACAAGATTAATGGTAATGATGATGATGAAATAAATGTATCTACATGTGTGTAAAATAATATTATATAATGAATAAAAAATCATTATAGATGTTGCATATCCTTCTTCATCTATTCCAAGATTTTAATCATGATCAGATGTAAGAACTGATCATATTGAAGTATGTGGCTTACAATGGTAGTAAGGCTAAGGTTGTTGGTTCATTCTATATGCAGGGTTCCTACCCTAAATGTAAGAGTTCCTAACATATCCAGGTGAAATGATGGTAATTTAAAAAATGTAAATAAAACGATCAGAATCATGACAAAGTGCATTCAAATGAACATAAGATAAACCATAACCTTACAAACATAAGAGTTAAAAATCAATTTAAGAAGAAAAGAAACTTCTCATTTACAAACCATAGATGTTTGGAAATATCTTTATATCATAAAAAAAAACATCCAAACAGTTAGGAGATTAAATATTATCCAAAAATGGATGTGTATCAGAAACAAATATGTTCTATAATGAAAACGGAAATATGATGTTAATTAAGATAAATAAATTGATTTCTTTTCAAGGAAAACACCTAATTCAACAAAATAGCTCACCTTTAAAGCTTCTTGCTGAGGAGAAGAGGTTAAAACTGTTGAAAGAAGTTCTGTGCTGTTGCGAGCTACATCAAAAGCTTCCTTTGTTTGTTCAGCGGTAAAACTTAGCACAGGAGAATCAGGATAATTTGGTATTGGCAGTGCTTCTGTCTCTGGATCTGAACTTGGAGGGGTAAAGATTGGAACCAAGCTCTCAGCATCACATTCAGGAAACCTTATACCTCTAGATCTTAAGCTCTACAAGAAAAATATATCACAAAACAAGTAAATTAATATATGAATCTAGTATGAGCAACATTATATCACATGCCATTAAGGATATATTTGAGGATTTTTTGCCAAAATTAAGAAGCTGAGAGAACCATGCTGCTGTAGAATTTGCTAGTTCCTACCTAGAAAAATGACAGGATTTTACACTAAAGTTATTATGTTAGGCCGGTTCAGGGTGAACCGGCGCAATCTGTCTGCCTCCCTTGCTCTCGCATGCCCACATGGTGGGTCACACTAGCCTAATGAAATTCAAATTCAAAAGGAGGGGGCGGCTAGTGCTTGAGGAGGGAAATTTGATTAGGAAAGTTTTTATATTAAGAGCATGAGATATTTAGGGAGGGATTATGTTTTGTTTGATTCTCCATTAGGATTTCTTGGCGACTTGTGCCCTAGACTCTCTTGTCTAGAGATTTGGGAGAGACGATCCTCCTCTCGAATTGAGGATCACTTGTATCTTGTTTCCGTGCTTGTTTGGCTTTGATTTTTGTATTACTATCTATCATTGGTGCTATTTTTTTCTCCCAGATTTTGTGCTATACTCGCTGTTTTTCATCAATTCGTGGTAGGTTTGCTTGCGAACTTGAGTATTACCGTTAGGGTTACTTGCGAACTCAAGTATTTCCTATCATATTAATAGCAAAAATAACAATCATAGCAAGTTAGCCACAAAAGCAAATTACCTTAAAATATGTCAAGTAACAATAATATAAATACCCTTGCATAATATAATATATTTAAAACACTACAAAAAAGCGTCCTACAGCTGTTTGGTTTATGAACAGTGAAGCTACTGAAAAGCAAAATTTCTACATCAAAACAGTATATTTTTGAAATTTTGAATGAAGTTGCAAAAACTAAAAGGTCATGCTACCCCTTTAAACCACTTTTAGCCAAAAGATATGGACGAACATTAATTATTCTATAACCAAAGCATCTTAGCTCACAGAGAAACATGCCTAGAGCCCTCATGTATGCTAATTGAAAGTAGTCCTTACAATTGTGCATCTAATAGTAAAACTTCAATACCTTATAGGTTTCTTCATAAACTGGCAAATATCTAAGTTCATCTCCGGACTCTCCCCATGCTTCAATCAGAACAAGGGCCTTGTTCCGATTGTTGGCTACTGTTTGAGGATCATCTATCAGTTTTACCATCTCATCAAGCACCTTTTCTGCTGCGACTTCAGAGAAAGCTTTCTCACAGTTCTTCACGCATGTCTCAAGGAGCACCAATGCAAGATACTGGACCCTTGGATTCTTCACCATAATTCTTTTCTTGATACCACAAATAAACTCAACGCTATTGACCTTCTCACTGTTGATCATGTCACAGATTTCGAGGTTCGCATCCCAGTCAGGTCCCTCCAAATTCTCTGAGGTAGCCTCCTCAACAATTTTGTCAGCTTGGCTTGGGCCTTGAAAGAATTCCTTCATCTTAAAGCTCATGGAGCTCATTCCAGCAGTCACTTTTCTGCCCATTTCAACACCGCTAATCTTGAGACGCTCACCAAAAGAACTGACTTTTTCCATCAGATCGTCACCCATTGTTGCAGGAAATGCAGGAAAGAACTCCTGTAGACAACAAGAAATGGAAAAGATTGTTTGTTTGGGATGTCGCAAGCCATGTCTTAAAAGGGACTAAAAAACATATGATCTTTATAAAAAATGTAAAAAGATATCTTATGAATGGCCAAACATCAAAGAAGAGTAGCTAAACGAAGAAGACTTACATGGCTACAAACTAGAGTCTTCTCTTTTAATGTGCTTATTTAATTTTAGCAAAAGCATTGAATGTAAAACCAAAATGAGGACCCACAAGATGAAATAATTAAAATTCGGGCATTAAGCAAGGAAAACATATACCAAATGAAATCGATTACAACGTTAATAAGCACAACCTAGAAAAAAGGTTCCATTCGTTTAAATGAATAATATTTTCAAAAATATGAGGCCTAAACCGAGTTTCCATGCAAAGTTCCCTACAAAATGCCCTCCAAACCCTAGCAAACGCTAGCAAGAGTATGCATGCCTATCTGAAATACATCACCATCATTAGCCTTATTGATATAGGATTTTACTCAATCACATTTTTATTTTTATTCCATGTAATAGGAGGGGCTAGCCACATAAGGTTGGAGGGAATAATTTTCAAATGACAAAATCATTTTGAAAACTCTCAATCATCCCAAAATTGATGATTCTTAAATCTTAATTATAATAAAAAAAAATATGTTGGATACCTCAAATTTGAAGTGATTAGCATTGTTTCTAGAATTGCAGCTAGCATTTCAAGGAGGGGGGACAACACTTTTGGAAAGTTTTTTATTTAAAGAAAATTTCAATATAATACTATCCCCTTTTTTTGCTGCTCACATTAATTATTTATAACCCATTATTCAATGAAGAAAAGGCCTTTGATTGATAGCAAAGTTGTGAACTTTATGTGTGGCAATGTGCAACTAGCTTTTGGATTCTAACATATTCTCCCCTCCCTCTCTGCTTGTGACCTAACCATTCCCCAAACCCTCAAGGTTTTAAACCCCTTTTCCTCGCATAAAACCAAGCCACACCCACTCCCAAAAGCCAAAACCTGCAGACAACCTTTGACCAAGCCACTTCCAAAAACCCATATCCCTCTCCACACTTGATAAATTCACTTACATTCAACTTCATTAGTTGCCTAACAACTCAAACCTTTGATCTCAAAGCCATCTCCCCTTCTATACAAAGAAAACCTCTCCATACATGACAAGGAAGTTTTAATTCCAAATAAGACAACAAATCCTCACTTAGTCAACCCTTCCCTAATCGTCCATTAGCCTTAATCCTTCCACCACTCTTCTCATGAACCCTAGAAAATTTTCCATCAACTTACCATCACTTATCTTAACTACAAGGAACCACTGCTATTTGAAGCAATATATCAAGATGAATGTGAGTAAAGTCATAAGACCATACATTAAGCGTTAACAAACATTGTAGCTTATAATATGAGCCAATTTAAGTAGTAAACACTTTATTCCAAATAATTTTGATTACAAGTTTACCTAAACTCATATCAAGCTCAACCTACCACCTAGTTCTTAATCATATCTAAAGCGACTTATAACAGGAAAGGCGTCCTCCAACAACTACTCCTATACGACTTGTTTGATCTCGTTGAATTAATCAATTAAGTAAAGAGCAGCACGCCTGGGGTAATTTGTTTGCATGTAAGAACGAACTAGACTAAGATGTAAAAATAGCATAAAACATGGGATCTAGTCAAATCAGATAAGATAAAAAATCTCAACATAACTCAAAATGCTCATATAGATCGATTTTTACATCAATTAGCAAGAAAACATCAAGAGATTACCTTGGGAATAATCCAGGCAGACACTTATGGAACTTTTTGGAGCATATTCTAAGGAGACAACTAAGGCTCCATTTTTGGCAACTTTTCACTACTTCACTTTTCAAATCACTATTACACTTTTGTTTGGTTACTATTTTTTTTTTTTGTTACATTTTAGAAATCTATATGAGAAAAATAGCTTTATAAAATAAGATCTACTAAAATGTGGTATATGTAATAAAGTTGTGATTTGGCTTTTTCAAATATTAAAATAGTCATAACATCTATTAAAAAAATTGATTTCTCCACAATTGTATAGTTACTTTGACCAATAGTTTCAATCACCCCTAACAAATGCCAAGTTGAAATCTACTGACTGAGCATTTGTATGACCTCATTGATCAACACCATTGCCTGAACAACCTTCCAACACAAACTTAAAATGCTAAGCCCGCCTTCGATAAAGATCGAAACAAAAGCATCAAAATTTTGACACGATAAAATATATATAGTGACCCATTAAAAAGTCAATGAAACTTTGATTGCAAACAAGTTAGACATGCGGCCTACATGCAACAATGGATGCTAAAAATGCCATAATGCATCTTAAATGTGAACTCTAAAGGAAAAAAAAAATCACACAAAATATCATAGATCAAGTATTTAGCCTATAAGATTCACACCAATGAGAAGATCTTATAGGAGCTACCAATAGTCTAAATATAAGTGCTAGGAACTTCGATACAATAGACAACATTCCTTTGCAAAGGAACCCATCGCCAATAGAATATAAGCGAGAATTAAACCCCTAAATGGCAAACTAAAAAGGGTTATGTCCCTAGATTTGGGTATGTAGGCAAAAGCATTTGAACTATATGAGTTCAAAAACATATGAAAAAATGCCGGCTTAAACCATAAAATTATCTTCATTGCTTGCTCCTTGACCAAATTTGATCAAAAACCACAATATGACCATCAAAATATCTTCCAATATTTATCATCTCTTAACAATATATTGTAAGGGTTCATCCATCTCTTCTAAAAGTTCAATATTCAATTACCTTATAATCAAACTTGTGGACTATAAACACAAACCAAATTTACAATATCCTCACAGATATTAACATAGTAACAGGCTTAGTTGTATTAACTCATTAATAATCACAACTGTTTACTAGAAATGAAATTCAGTCGCTTTATCAAAAAATTGTTTTTCTTTTTCAATGATCCATAAACTACCCGTGAAGAGAGTTCCATATTTGCATTATAAAAAAAGAACAAAGCATGAAATTTCCAAACTTTAACAGATTAAGTCATCAAGAAGACAAACCAGACATTCAGATCTCCACCTTCAATCATAAAAAGTCATTTCAAAGTCAAAAGAATCCGTTAAATTTACAAGAAATGCATGAAGGGGCAGTTTGGATAAATAATTTAAGCAGAATTTGAGCAGGATTTGAGTTAAATCTTGCCAAACGCGAAAAAACGCCTGCTCACATCTCACCTTAAGTCGCGTTTTCGACCTTTTCCCGTAAATCCCGGAGTCAGCGGATTTAGGGAATTCGGCCGAAGAAGCGCTCAAAAAGGGAGAAAGATCGTTACCTTCGCAACGAGCTCCCGTCGTGACTTCCAATGCGAAAGGAACAAAGTCGTCCAAGGATGCCTAAAAAAGCTTCTTTTTAGCGAAAACTCCACATCCGCACGCGAACCCGCTTCGAAGAAGAAATACGAAGAGGAAATGGCGACGAGGAAAAGCAAAAAACAGAGAAATTATAGAAATAGTCAGCAAAAATGAGAGAAAATTTGTAGAGTGCATCACCGGGAAAGAGAATCAATCAATTAGGTAATAAAATTTTCAATTTTTGGTATAATGATAATTAATTTTTAAATTTAGGGTTTAGAAATTAAGAGTAGCACCCAGGATTTGATTTAAGTAAGATTTCATAAATATGCTAAATTCATATTTCATAAATCCTGAGGAGTCTAAATCCTGAAAACTTTTTGGTAACATTCATTATAAATCCTATTAAATCACGTGTGACTGCTTGGGTATAAAAAGAATTTAACGAGCTAACTCTTCATGTCGAGCCAACAAATTTTGTAAATCCAGCAAAAATAGGATTTGAGAAATTCGGGATTTAGCATGAAAAGATAGAATTTTTCGTCTGCGGCTGCTTTCATTTGCCGTGAGATTTGATTTTGCATTTTAGGCTGTTTGGCTGGATTTTGCTTAAATCCGGCCTAAATCCTGCTACCAAATCGAACCTAAAAGTTAAATATTTTATATGTTTCAATGACGCAATATTTTATTAATTGGTAATTAATTATTATATTAATATATAATTAGTATGATTTTATAAGATTTATTTTTCTCATGAATTAATTATCTTAAATCATTAGTTGCATTGTCAAATAATTTCACATGATTTAACATCTTTTTGGCCAAACAATTTTTCATAATCTAACACCCTCAATATTTAGTAAATTTCTATTTTTTTATTAAATTCTATTTGAGTTAAATCCTTCAAATATCCCCCAAAATTATCTTAAAAGACAAATTTTATCTAAATCTTAAGAATTAGGACTAATTAAATGTAATTTACACATATAACTATAATATTTATAAGTAACTAATGAAAAAAAATATGAGAGTGAATATTTTATCATTGAAAATTTGATAAGGATCTCTTATCGGGGTGGAACTATGAAGAGCTCAGGGTGGACAATTATCACACTGAAAATTTTTTTCTTAGAAAAATAAATATTTTAATTATTTTGCCCACATTTAAATACAGCTACCCAAATTCTAAGAATTTTTTTTATTTCATACATAAGATTATATATTTTATAATCCTATTTTGTCCATACTTAAAAAAGAGGCTAGTTTCTCCCCTGTCTCTTATTATAAATTGTTTATCTATTTTTTTTCTTCACCATACCAATGATATGCATTTTTTATAATTTTTCTTTCAATTTATTTTGTTCTTTGTTGTGCAAAAACAAATAGTCAATTGAGAGAAAGAAGAGAGCTAATCTCTGTTGTCTTAAATTGTTGGCATAGCACTCATAATCACTAAAGAGAATATGAATACACAAAATTTTACATCAAAATTTTGAGTAGAGAATTTTTGTTATCCACTAAAGTATGATGGAATATTCCCTTTAGATGTTGATAATGAATGAAGCCAATTGTGCGCATCTATGATCGAAATATAAAT